CAAGTCTATAAATAAATTCTGATTTGTAATTTTTTTATATAAAAAGGCAAAGAAAAAATATCTGAGATCCCTTTACTCCTTTGTTATAATAATTAGCGATTTTGGAGAATAAAATATTTAACAATTTTTAGCACTTTGCTTGCTCTGCTAATAAATCTTACCCACGATAAATAAAATGATTCATACACTTGAAATAATATCTAATTTCTAATGATTAAGGTTTGTTTATTTGTTTATATGCTATGACACTCCCCCACATTCGTGTATGTATGCTAATATGACCAATTTCCACTTATAGATGACATCACTTGCTGTTTTGGGGATCACTTCATTTTTGGATTTTGCAGGCCTATCAATGTTCATCAAGAAAATCTCTATTTACTTATTCATTGGTGCCACGTTTTATTTTTCACGTATCATCAAGAAAGATATCGATATCAAGCATAATTCTGATTCTTCTGCACGTGATATGATATTTAATGAAATTCTTGCCAATCGCAATGCCAAATTTAACGCTGAACTCATCTCACGTGATGAAAACTTCACAGTGGAGATCCAAAGAATCTTGACAATACTTAATACTTCTACTGTGAAACTTGATGAGATTGAACAAGTTCTTCAAAACTACCATAATAATTTTGGCAGAGTTGCAACCGAATTTGAATCAATTAATACCTCTATCGTAACTCTTCAAAGTAAAATAAATCAATGTTATACGATGATTCTAAGAACTGAAGAGATTGAATTCGATCAACAAAGCGTGATGAGTCAAGCTTCCAATCATTCTACAGGTCAAGCTTCAAATTATTCCACAGGTCAAGCTTCAAATTATTCCGCAAGTCAAGCTTCAAATTATTCTGCAGGTCAAGCTTCAAATCATTCCTCTGCAAGCTTGGGATAATTAACATTCACAGGTATCAGTTTGACCATCTGGAATCAATTTAAGCAAATTTTTGATCAGATCATGACCGAAAATAATTATACTTTGGAGGAGATGTGTCTTTCTGTAGCTATGGATATTCGTTCATTGGGAAAAAATATTAAGAAGGTGATGGTACAAGGATTTTATGAGAGAAATATTAAAAAGAAGAATGGTTATATTAGTACTTTAGATCAAATTGGTTTATGGATTGATAGTAAAACAAATAATCTAGGTAGTAAGTAGCGGAAAAGAAACTGTCATCATATGGGTTAGGGCTTGGCAGATTTCCTCCCTTGAAATTCTGCTTTTCTATATTTTACTTAGCTGACCTCTAACTCTCAATATATTTATTTTTAAAAAAAAATAAAGATATGATTAGTACCTGATCTTTTAATTATTGTATGCTAAGTTGTCTTTTGTTTCACTAGCATATAATAGAGTATTAAGTCACACCGGGAAATTAATTAGTATACATATAACGATCATTCCAAAGGGACGAATCTTTAGATTCATATGGATCTCTCCCATTCTCATCATTATATCACTCGCAAATATGACGAATATACACAACTCATCTAATAACTCCAGACCCTATGGGGACTCTTCAAGATCCGTACTAAAAATGAATCATATATTCTTATACTATAAAGAATCAAAACTAATAGGTCCAAATCCCTAAATTCGATATAAATTACTAATTATGTCAGGTCTTATTATTACAACTATTATTGATAAAAAAGCTAAATCAATTAAACTCATTAATAATCATCCTGGATATGATATGAAATATGTAAAGTCATATATCTACAATTATTGTGGAATTAATGATTATCAATGATACTTTGATGATCTTTATGAGACTGAAAGATGATATGATATTTTATCAGTTATTTGACCTGATGAAACTCCACAACAATGGGCTATTTGGGTCAGAGTTCCTTTACAAGAGTTGGTTTCTGAAAAGAAAAGAAGTATATATTATGTATATTGTTTATTTGGTGAATTTGGGAATTCTAAGCTAATGAATCATGATTACTATAGGCCTAGAATTCATAAATCTAATGTAGCGATATGTTTAGATTATATGAAACTTATACATATTGATAATGTAAAACCAAAGAAATTATTTCATTTTACCAGAAAAAGATATATTGAAATTATCAAGCCAGATGATTTGATGCAGAAACATTGGGATCATGAGTGTGATAAACCTAAATCTTGAGATGGATATGCAAGAATTATACAAAGAATATTTTGCCAATTCCAAGAAAAAGAGTTATCAAATGCACAACTTGCATGGAATAACTTACTGAATGATAATACTCCAGATGATAAAAAGTTTTTAGGCATAACTCCGCAAAAAATAAAAAATCCAAATTCCCTAGATCAATTAAAAACATGTCTTAATAAGAAATATACTGAGTATATAAAAAAATATAATAGATATCCATATAAAGCTAAATTTGAAATTAGTATGTATCAGGAATATATTATTCTATATGATTGGATAAATCATAAAAAGGAATAATTGCGATATAGATTTAGTAACTGTTTCCAACAATTAGAAATATAAATATACATATCTATTTATTCGATTAATATATCTATTTAAAATAAAATTATCTTAAGTATTTCTGAGAGCTAGTACTTTAGACTTTATTCGTTATCCCTAAGAGCTGGTAACATTTTTTACTTTGATTTTTTTCATATTAACCTGTTTTATGGGACACAAAAATCTCTAGTATAGATAATAGATCGTGCTTGTTATTATTTCTCATCCACCTCAATTTCAACACTAGGCTGGATACATGCATCTTCTCAATTATATAAGAAGTGGTAAGTAGGATGTACTTATATTATTGTATTAATAAATAACTGAAAAAATAATTATTCGATTATTATACCTTATTTTATCTGATTTCAAAGTATTATATCTTCTAAAATCTTGCTCTGGTTAGGCAAAATGTTTATTATCTTTTAACCCCTCGATCTCCTTTTCTAGATCAAGAAGGGTGTCCCATCGAAGTGAGAAAGACTCAGATCTGGGTTTATTCAGATCTATAACTATAAACTCTTTTTGTCTCAAATAACCGTTAATAATTTTTGAAGCTTTTCACAGATCTACATCAGTGTAGGGACTTATAATATCTGCAAGTTTTCGAATAGAGCTCCCACTATTAAAGAGAATAATGTGAGTAGCATTTTCACAAATATCTATTAGAATTTTGTAGAATTTCTGAGTAACATAAATTGAGGAAATATTCTCATGATGACCTCGAGTGAAAAATGGAATAATTTTTTTCTGTATAGCTGGAGGGTTAGAGTAAAGATCTTTAAATATCACTAATATACTTCTTTTAGCATTAAACTTTTTGGAATCTGGGATTTTATCAGGAGATAGTATAGAAAATGTAACATCTTCATAATAGGGCTTTGATTTGTCTTGAGCAAGATATTTATAAAAATCTTGAACTATTTTATATTTTGGCTCATTTAAATGATGTCTGAAAAGAAATACATCATCGCATTTAATATTGTGTTCCCCTATCTTAGAATGCTTTTTCTTCTTAAACATGTAATAAAATTTGGGCATTGTTAGTAAGTTTAAATTCATATTGGTCTTACCTGAATTGCTAGCCTCTGCTATCATGATACGAAAAGGCCATGCTGGTATATCTTTATCTCTCTGGTATTTTTTCGAAGATTTTACCTCATCCACGGCAAATACACAATATAACATCTTTTTATTATAAATATATATTATATTTTTTTATTCCGACGAATAATCTGATTTTGACATGCTATTTATATCTATATTTTATAGATAATCTTTTTCTTGCAATTTGCGTTTTATGTATAGGAATAAATCAGCACCATATGGTATTTCAATAAGATCTATATCTCACTCTTTGCATATTTCCCGCTTTTTTTGGTCACGTTTTCTTTGATTATCTAGATCATCTTGATTTTTGTAATATAAACTATTATGATAGTAGTGTTGAACTCTCTGGAATTCGTATGCTAATTTTAGCTCTTCATTATACCTATCTAATTGCATCCCATTCAAAAATAATGGTTTACAAGATGGAAATTTCTTATCCAACAGATCCTCAAAAATATATCTATATCTTTGCTCATCACTATAATAGAAACAAATTGGATACCATTCAAATTTCATAGCTATTAATAGATATGGATATTCTCACTGATATTTTCTATTTTCACAAGACCAGAGATATACATCGAAATTATTTATTTGGCCAGTTTTACCAAGACATTTTTTACCATGCTTCTTGGTATATTGTTGAGCCTTGGTTATTTTATTAATAATACAAACAAAATTAACAGATCTGGAGCAAGTATTTTCTTTCAATATACTCTGAGGTGGATACTGAAGTTTTTCTAGATCTATGTGCATGAGCTCTTCTTTCACAAATCCCCACTTTGGAGGATATTCATCATTATCACTTCTGAGATAATATAAAACTGGTTCATTTTTCGTTACCATGATTTTGCGGATTTTATGTAAAGAAGGTGAAAACATTGGGTCCGTAGCCCTTTTCTGATTTTCCATATCTCCTTCCCACTCCGCATTAGCAAGCAGATAGTGAATTATATCACCTTTCTTTAATATATTCTCCTCATCCTTTCCAACGGGATGCTTATACTTTGTAGATGGCCTAGATTCTACTCGTTCCAGTTTAATAACTTTTGCTAGAGCTAAACCCCATTTTGATAAACCTGGAGCTTGAATGAGACATATTGGATAATTATTAAGATAATCTATTACTTCTGGCAAATACTTGACCCACTCTCTCATTAATTTAGAATTTTTAGATATTGATTCAATAGTATATTGGATTTTATAAAGCATCTCTGCTAATGTCTTATTAAATTATTCTACAAGAGCTAATTCATGATAACTATAAGCACCAATTACTCGAATTGTGACATTATGCGCTTTCATTAGCTGACTTACCAATTTTTTGAATTCCATCTTACCATCACATTGTAGAAGTGTCAGATATGTAAAAGGGTTATTAGGATTATCATAAATTTTCTTAAATGCTTTAGCAACTTCAGAATTATTCTTTGATATTAGAGGAACACTCACTTTGAATCTGCTAGACATGTCTATAATCTGTAATACTGCTTTCCATATCTTCCCCTTATATTTATCATGTGTAAGAAATAAGAGGTTACATTGATGTACACAATTTGGTTTTTGAATTTTTCCATAACTTACCCGTAGAGTATTTTTTGGTAATGAAGTATATTTTTGCCATTCATTTTGATTATGCAACCATTCACAAACTTTTTTATATGGGAAATTATATTATTACAGCGAATCGGTAAGTGGATTTTCACTTTGATTCACCTTAACGATATAGGGTTGGAAGAGACTGAAATAATAAAAGATAAAGAGAGGGGAATTAGACTATAACTTTCAATAATGA